TGCGAACAAAAACTGAATTGCGCTAAATTCAATTGGTTAATCAATTCAATTAATTTGAAGGGATAGCTACCGAGTACGGTCTACCGAGCGATCGACGAAGCTCTGTAATTGGAACGATTAATGTACTCCTCGAATGAGCCATTCTTTCTTTATATCGAGATTGGACATATTGAAGGCATGTACGGAATGAATCGGCCTGAAAACTAACTACCTACGCTTTGTTGGGTTCTGATACAATCTACAGAGACGCTGTAGGATATTCGTTTAATAAATTTAACTTATCATTTACTCTCTGTATTAAATAAGCTTGCGTTTCTTCCATAAGATATTTTTGTACGTTTATTTAGTTAGGTGTGAAATACAAATAAGACTCTACATTGATTGTTGTTTAATAGTTATTAATAAGCAAAATAATTTCGGTTTCAGATACCCTGATATTTGCTTCCCCCCAAATATCCCTTTTGCTGTCAAAGTGACGTGACCATGTGCGCAGGCGCATCGCCGTGGGTGGTGTGTCTGTCCTTGTTTTTTCGCATTTTTTGTCTAACAACACGTGATGACCATATAAACTGAGGCAGACCACCGACATGTAACCTCAGGCTCAAGACCTTACACATTTTGGGTGGCACACACGCATTAGAATTAAAATCAAGTAACATTTCATTTGGTCCTGTCATCTTAAAAAACGGAATATAATTTTCTAAACTCTTACGAATAAATTTATCTTCTGCTATGCTTTCTATGACTAGTAATGTTAATATTTATTTCATTTGTTTACTTATATTTTAGCTTTCTAATTTGAGTATTAGCAAAATAATTGCGCTCGTTTCCTGAGTCATTATTTAAATAAATTACTATCAGACGCAGCTAATAACAGTCTTGCAAAAATAACCGACTTCCTAGCTCTCTCTGCGTTCTAAATTATGCAAATGCGAATAAATCACAACTCATTACCATACTATCTTCTCTACAGGGCTCCTCGGGGCTTCCATATATTCTACGTCATTCGGTCTACAGAAATTACAACCCTTTGGAAATACTCCAAAGGTACTTCGGACCGGAGATGCTCAATTTTGGGTTCTGTTCAAATTGCCATTATTAAAAGACCAACAATCGGCCCACCCAGATAGCACAAAACTGTATTTAAGGCAATTGCTTTATTAAAAAGTGAAAAGAAATGAAAAAATGTTTATTAAAACAAAGATGTCTAACTCATCATTATGGTCGGAATTGAGGTGCACCTGCGCTCTTTAGGGACAATCATCGTGCTACCAATATCTAATTACATGAGAGATTGAATGCGACCTTAAGATCATTTTGTTTACATTATAACCGGAGTCATCGAGCGCATAATTGCTTACCCGACACAATCATTAACTAAGTACCTACATTGCCATCGATCTAGGTAACCATAATCTTCGATCCATAAGCAAGTAAAGTACCATTATAGATTCATAAAATTCGTAATCTTTTTGAAATTAAATGACATCTGATTCCGCGACGCACAAGACAAGACGATTTTATCTTAAAATCTTTATTTAATTCAAATTACTTTTTACTTTTAACAGTCTTCGACACAATCTTTGATTTTGATCTCGAATTGATATTAAGCCTTGTAAAAAGTTTAAGCTTTATCTCGATAAATACCTAACTAAATGCTGCAGATACTTCAGACCCGGTGGCCTAAGTTTGATCAAAATTCGACCAACCGAGTGTTCGACCACCTAGTTTCGGGCCCATTCGGGCCTATAAAGGTTTTATAAGAACGGAATTGTTCGGACCACCGCACCGTACCACCACCGTTGATAGTCAACAAAAAGACTAATGTTCTCAACTAATCTACTAAACATTACTGCAGTTTATAGTGATTTGTATTTAACCTTTTACGCTGTTGTTCTTTCAAAAACACCGAACATGAGTTTAGTTATGCAACTAACTCCCTTATCAAAAGATTAACTAATTTCTACTTCACATTTACAAGTTGTTTTTGAAGTTAGCACTAAATCCAATCAAAACTCTATTAAATGCCTTGCACACGACTACTTATTTCAATCAAGTGTGTGGAGAGAACATAACAATCAGTATTAATGTCCTGGTTTGCATACGACGGCCATCGTCCCAGCTCATTAGGTCGTGTCACGCGTCATAACACTGATTAATTGGCCTCTGCTTGATGTGAATACAAAGAGATGTAAAAAATCCATGACGAGCAAGCAACGACCTTTCGGTAACGAGAAGCCGTCAGTCAGGCGGGCGCGCCAACCAGCAACACTTGACATGTTCAATTTATATGCAACTCGATGCCTACACTCGTTCCCACTTGAATGATAGGCAATAAAGTCAAGGCATCGATACCTCTCCAACTTATCACCGAATGTTTTTTCCAAACATTATCGTAAAGCATCGCCTGTATCTACGCGATACTTTTCGATGCGAATCTTAATGCAAATTTATATCTCTTGCTCATTAAACGAGTAATCGATGAGGCAGTTCATTAATAAATTCGAAATCGAGTTGTATTGGGAGAAAATTACATGGGTATCGGCATTATGATAAGTAAAACAGTAGTTAGTAACAGAGGCGGAGCACCCGACGACGACTCCACTTGGGTGGCTCGGCAGATGTTGCTCTGATTGAGTAAAAAAAACATATATCAATTATTTTCATCGTTTGTTTATATTATGGACATTACACGTAAACACATCATCTTATGAATTTTAATGAGATATGTAATGGAAGTGTTCAGATGAGCCGGGCTCTTTAATTTTGTGAAGGAAATATTTACAGAGTGCAGTATCGTGTTACTACTTTCTAAATTACTAATTATGTACTGGGTTGGAGTCGGCGCGGACGGTCGCTTCCAGTTTTATTATCTTTGCGTCCGCACTTTAGGTTCGATGTTATGGAATCGATGACACTCGTTTTATATCACTTGTATAATGTAAATGCTTGTATGTATTTATATGAAGTAGTTGTGGCGCGACACTCGACGAGTCACACCATGTTATGAGTGATGAGCACACTTTACTTCATAGTCAATGTTGCACTAACAATAATATAACCTGTTAATCCTTTCAACAGTCAATAATGTCATAATTTTTAAATAAAACCCTTATCGACGGGTTATTACATGATATGAAAAATATAACATAATTTAGCGCTAAATCTTGAGGAAACAAACGTGTGCAAAATTGATTTAAATGAACAATACGTTCCATTAATTATTTTTAGAAGAGTTAATCGTTCCGAATTCTTATGTAGATAGATATAGACTTACTGCTGAAAGGTGTTGGAAAACATCTTTAAAAACTTACTTATGTTTTATAGAGTGAACGTTGACCAAAAATAAACCTCAGCTCGCGGTCGTAGGCATGAGAATTCCGTAAATAATTAGTGGAGACGGCGATTATGGCAAATTGCGGCCGCAGGTGCAATAATTCTCCAATACCCTCCATTAGTGTCGGGACAGCGCAAACAAACGGTTATAATTGAATGTTTGACGAATTAGTTCGACCACCGAGCGAGATCTACGCGGTGGTTCCCGCTTAAGCATACGTCGTAAACTGAACGTCCGTCTTTCGATTTCGCAATTACATTAAGGCAGGGCGAATTATTTCATTATGTTTTTTCGCAAATTATTAAAAACACAGATTTGTTAACAGTACATACATACTTACATAAAAATACTTACGTCTGTCTTCTGTAGAGGTATAGTGCAAAGGAGCAGCCGTGGACCTTATGTAATTGGTGCTAAGTCCATACACCAAATACCATTTCTAATTAAACTGTCAAATACCAAGCGGTCACCGGTGACCGCAACCTATTGTTCTATAATTGTGTCTGCAAAACCGGTACTCGACGAGTTAATTAAATAATCCGATTGGTGTCGTGGTGGCTCGGTGATCTACGACGCATGAGAGGTTGCGGTTTCGAAACCTACCAACAGCAAGTACCAATGTGACTTTTTCCGACTTATATGCACTTTCTAAGATTAGTTAGACATCACTGCCAAACGATGAAGGAAAACATCGTGTTGGAATATGGACTAAAATTTTCTTATTATAATTGTTTGAAATCGCCAACCCGCATTGAGCAAGGAAGGCATTTGGTCAGTAGTGGCCACTTATAGGCTGTTGATGTATTGATGTGAAATAGTACAAACCTTCTCGCAATAATCGTACTTGTGGCTTCTGGAAGGCGAAACCCATTACGCAGGTAAAAATGGTAAAATTAAATTAAGAACACCATTTAAAAGATAACGTTTGCTTAAATAAAAGCTGTCGGCTCCTGTACTAGCAGGTAGTCAAAACATTGTCAGACTGAGGTCATAAACTCCTATGCTACAATACAATACCGTTTTAGTCCTAATCTCGGATTACGAGCTCCCAGATTAGTTTTGAAATATGTCGATGTCTGTGTACGACAACCAACGTTTTTCATTTTGGCGCTATTAACACAAAAGCGCTATTTAAACTTATCTCTAATTAGGATTTATTCTAATTCAAAAGTTTAATGGTTTACAGTGATGCAGACAAATTCTTTGACGCCTAACTGATAGTACCTACCTATTAATTTTTAGTATATTTCTTTTTTTATTCATTGTTTTAGTTTTGGTCAATTTTAAGATGTATATATTTCACAATTAGTGAATTATTTGTAAATAAATCTCTTCTGGTATGATAGTAAGTAGTATGTTATACACACATTCTCATGCACACATCCATGCACACTCTCTACACACACCTACTCACTTTTCTTTTCTTATAATGTTAAATATTAGAATAGTCCTAAGGAAATCGCTGTATTTTGACAGCCCCGATACAGACTATGCCTAGTGTGGTTGTCATTGTATACTGGAGTAACATGACATGTATGCTTTGGACTAGTAATGAAAAAAAAAATATTTTTTATTTTGATATATTTACATTAACTGGGCTGGACTGGTTCAATATGTTTTATACTGTTTATATTATACCACAAAATAAAACGAAACATTATATTCATAGTTTTATTTCTAGATTAATGGCATATTTCTTTTAGGTACATCTGCTTACACGCTAAACACAATCTTAAGTAATATCACTTTATTCTCTTAACCATTTACATTGAGACGGCAAATTGTTACAATATTGTTTACAAACGAAATAAACTAACATCCTTTAATTGTAATAATATGCAAACATAAATACATTTCACTTGCATTTAACTTAGTTATGTTACAAAAGCCTATGTCTTACGTCACTCATACAAATAATGTAAAAATAAAACTAATTGTATGTTAAAATAAACTGTCCTCGTTCGGTAACTGGTAAAGGAAGACAATAATGACTACTGGTTTATTCCGGTAACGTAACTAACTGAATATTGAGCGCAATTATCATACGACAATTAATCCTTGCCGCTATATACATGTTAAACATTTATATATTCATACGCCTATGTAATGGAAGACTATACGATTTTGCTGGATAAGGCACACAGAATCCTATCATATCGATTGCATTCAAATATTGACCGTCAACTGCTCAATATTTGCATAAACTCCTATTTACAAAAGCTTTAAGCATACTAATCCATTGTAAATTGAACGAAATTAATTAATGGCACTAGTTATTTACGAACTAATATAATGAATAACGTATAACACTACGTCACGCTACGTAATGATAAATGAAATACTGCTTCAGATGTCATCCGCGAATATACACCTTATTATCTAGAACTTAAAAGTTAAATAAACCTTTCGTTAAACAGAAAGGAAAAGACAAGTTTTCATCTAAAATTATCTTTATAAACTCTATCACACAATCTGAACTGACCGAACAAGTAACTCAAGTAGAAGTACCTTTATTATTTCTTTGCGAAAATTATTTATTACTTTAATCTGTTTAAACTACCACTAGGAACTATATTCTGTCGATGGAGACATACTATATGTACAGCTAAAATATATCACAGTGTTATGTAAGGAATGAAGGGAGTGTCACCATGGTCTCCAAGGTTTTTCTTCTGGAGTCTCTTTTCTTGTTACAAGTGCGAGGGGAGCTGATTCTTCAGGAGGTGGAGGAGGTGATCCCCAACCAGAGCTGGCTGGGGAATAGCATCTCGTCTCCGAAGACGTGGAGGAAGATGCGTCTCGTGGAGACAGTGGTACTAGGGTTGGTATCGCGCCCAAAGTGCTCGCGTTCACACCAGCTGGTAGCACAAGCGCGATGTCGCCGTTAGACAACCTTGTGGGCACTAGGCGCACACCTGAACCAGGTCCAGCTGAAATAAAAGGCACCAGTTAGTAAAATCATCCCTTTGATTTAAGATATCAAGAAAGTTGTATAAAGTTAGTAAGATATCAAAAGGAAAGTGTAGGAAACTTACCAGATATAAAAATAGTAGAATGTTGAGTTTGAGGAGCATCTTCAGTGTCAGAAGGAGGCGTGGGAGCTCCAGCTGGCCTGGCACCTGCAGCATTGACGCAACCTTCTAGGTGCCTCACCAACCTTCTCTTCAGGGCCGGCTCTATTCCTTGGAACTTAGACACTTCAGTCACACAGTGTCTGTAGCCCGCACGGAATCGATCTGGCGACCCAGCCCCTTCAGACCGTAGGCCTTCTAAATGCTTTACAGTCATCTCTAAGATGTCAGCCTTCTCTAACTTAGCATGCCTAGCCGGCTGTAACAAGGAAAAGCAATCGGTTAAAGCCCATATTCTTAGATAATATTTGATCTTTGCATAAGATCCGTGTCTTTGAATAAGCAACCATAATAAGGTGGAAATATTTATAATAAAATGTAAGGAGGTACTTGTACGCTCAATTATTCAAGATATTATTTGAGAAAATATAATATGTCTAGACGGCCCATCCTCGATTCTATGTAAATATTTGTAAAACTCATCAGGTTGTCTACTTACGTCTTTCTTCATAGCGTCTAAAATTAACGCCTTCAGTTCGTTTAGGCAGTTGTTGATGCGCGCCCGCCGCCGCTTTTCCATAATCGGCTTGTTGCTCTGTAACAAACCAAATATTATGTTAAAATATGCCATAATACATCGCACAGTGTACCTAATACATTTAGTTGATAATAAGCAGGTATCCTTGCGGCTTGCGTCAACGCGCGCATTTGCATCCATTAGCAGCACGTGTAACAACTAAATGTTACACGCAAGGTTAAGGCTAAAGTCTAGCACGCAGGCGCAACTTTACTAAAACGATTATTCGCGGACCAAACATATGAACATTTTTTTTCTCACGCGACGCATGTCAGTCGGTATCCAAGCGGACAATATTTACATAAATCAGTGCTAATACACATAATCAGTCATGCGAGCCCGTGGTACGTGTATTGTAGTTTTATTTATGCTGTATATAAACAACATTGTTATCGCTTTATCGCCGAGTGACACCAAGTAAGGCGCGTGACAAAAAGAGCCATTAATCTCTGGTTACACGCCGGTGACGGCGCGTGCGACTGCCTCAAGGTGAAGGTCGTCCGTGTCGTGATTGGCTGCGCGCGCGCCGTGACGCTGAATCACGCGTGGCGGGACCACGTGACGATCAAACGAACGTTACTAATATGTAACACACCGATGCCATGTCTTTGTTAACATTGTCGTGATAACTGGCTGCGCTCTTTGCCTGCAAGCGACATACCTACTGAAGCGGTATTTATCGGTGCTTGGCGCGGCACCAAAGCGTAAGATCAAATTATTTTTTATGAAAATTCTAAAAATTGGCACATGGTGTGTCTGCACGTCCGATAAATTGTGGGCAGCTCGTCTATCACATTTGATCTGCTACGCACTCGTTTCGTTAGCACATTAAATGTTAACACGGCTTCTGTGAACTAGTCTAACGTCACGGTTACGTGTTCAAAATTAGATCTTGCCAACGTCTGACCGATACGCCAATGTCAGGCTGACGGGCTACTGGTAATATTCTCATACAAATGAGGCATAGAACACGATACAGGCGTATGCCCGGGGGCGGGAAGTTGTCGACGCCTTCCGCACGAGACACCACTTCCGTAGTCGAGGCTAACAGCCCTCGTACTTAATGGCCTAAACTTACATAAAAATAATTAACTGCTTTATTTAGATAGAGTGTACCTTACATATACCTTCGTTTTCCCTTTTTATGATGTATTTTTATATCATAATAATATCCTCTTTTCCATACATAACCGTGTTTTTCTCTAATAGCATTACCTAGTTAGTAGCAGCATAAAATTTACTGAAATGATCAACTACAAGTCGTATGTACAAGTAGGTAATAAAATTTAATTATCACGACTGATTGCAAAACAAGAAAAAATCTGTAAACCGTCTCATATGTTCCTATCTATCTACATGTTATAAAAGAACATCGTAAATGTTTTAAAATATAATAAATATGAAATATTTTATTCGTGGTAAAATTTTAACACGTATTAAAAACATGAAAGAGAAAATGTAGGTATAGCGAAACACGAGCTCGTATAGTTTTCCGCAGATCGTAAAGACAGAAAGTCGTCAGACGCGGAGGTGGCACGTGGCGGGCGCCCTGCGGCGTCGCGGCGCCCGATATAGCGAACACAGACAGACACACATACAACACTAGTATAGTGTAAGCACATACCTACACGGATACATACGCCACGAGTACGCCTATACACCTACCCATTTTACTGCCGAGCCATTTCAATTATCGCGTATTTCTGAATATATTAAGCGCTAACAAAATACCTGTCAGCCGAGTCAAAAGAAACACGACGTTTGTTACTCGTTTACAGTATTACAATCGCTTTACAAGATGCCAATAACAAGACGCTTATTTGAATATTCTCTGTACAGCGTGCTGGTCATATTTTTAGTTTCTAACATGTATTGACTGCCTTGTTAGAGGAGTTCGGAACAAACTCCATGGTCTAATTGTCTTGGTTAGGCAACTGAGAATATGATTGATTTTCATAGAAGTTCGGAATCTTTTCGTCCACTTAGTTGCTATTTGCTCATCCGTTCTTCATATTATGTTATTCTTATTTGGCATCTAGAGGTATATTTCGAAAACTTTTGCCTGCCACCAGTATGTTAATATAAGTGTTGAAAACCATGTTTCCTAATTACACTAAACTGATTAGGGATTGTACCGAAGTATCAGTGTGCCAATGACCTAAAACAAAAAAAGAACGTTATCTGGTGGGTCCGCTCGTTATCAGTCACGCACCCACGACCCTGCCCCGTCTCACGTAAGTGTTCACTCGATACCATCAGCTGATAGTCTTCGATAACAGGTGCTCGATAAGCCATGTTTATTCGAACACGCCATTTTAATTAATCGATAACCACCCACACGAGTGATAGAGTGATTTCCACGAGGCCTTGCATCATTGTAGGTGTTGAATCGACTGTCGGTCATAATCTACTGAATGCTCTTCAATGGTAATTGGTAGTGAAGTTTGGCGGTGTTTTTGTCATAAGTCGCATTATTTAGATAAGATTGATTGTTGCGAGGTGACTCAAAATCAATCAACTACTAATAAGGCAAGATAGAAGCAATATTTTTCTGTAAGAAAACTGTAGACTTTTTAACAAACTCGAATCTAAGTTTCCATGTCGTCGACGACAAAGGGCACATTTTACGTAAGTAGGTCATCTTTACCTCTCCTTTGTGTACATTCATGGTACGAAAGAAAGACAAGATTTTCTCCAATACTCGTGCAATTTCGTACACACAAATGTCCAGTGGAACTTCTGTAATGTCCGTCAATACAGTTTACGTAACGTTTGGCCCGACATGCGGAATGGATTTAGTCGCAAGTCGCAGGGCGCCGCGCACACGTGCCAGGGTTATCAACTGTCTACAACCGACTGAGACGTACCGACTGCGTTCCGGTATTCGTGACCATATTTTTCTCGTGATGTTAGACCGAATTTTCTATGTCGCTGCAAAAGTGTACCTTATTTGTAAGACCTTTCTTTGGTCGAGTTTTACAAGATTCGTATCCAACCCATATAGGATATGGATGTCTATGATAAATTATTATTCCAAGACTTAGATAATCATGACAAAATTGAAACCTCAGCAATGTCAGATCGGATCTGTTTTTTTTTTAATTAGACACCAAAATAAATGTGATTAGAAAACATTTTGAAACAACGAAAGCAATTTGATACTTCTGCATCAATGTCCACAACTCTTATTAATGTGACAATTAACGTCGCGGTAGCCAGTTACAAAATCCCAAGTGACAATCACAATTGATATTAACGCAGAACGGGAGAGACGTGATCTAGTCGTCAATATACATTTACTAGAAGTGACTGAGTCACGCGATGCACCCTGGTTACATAGCGTACCATGTCATTGGCGCTCTTACAAACAGGAATCGTCAACTTTTTTCTACAGATTGAATTCATGTCACATAAGAACTAAAACGAAAGCGGAGTGAAGTGAAATAACGAAAAAGAACCGCCCCTTTCAACCTGAGCTTTTGGAATGCTACTGAACCTCATTAAGCACCACTTGAATCCGTCTGAAGTGTTTGCGATCCCCGGACAGCAGGTTGAGTACCCCTGGAGCAGACGACTATTTCGCTGTCTGGCAGTCGCCCAGTGGTCATTACACATTCGTATTTCGTATCGCCTAAATCTGCACGTTTGACAGCTCGGTACTAATGCATACGATAAATAGCGATGCGACGGAGCTACGCGACGCCACGCCGCGCCGCCGCCCGCGCCGACCTTCTCTCAAAGATAAATCGTTTAATCTGCGCATAACATTATACATATCTCCGTCGGCATTGTTGGAGGAGCTTTGTTCGTGAACCAAGATGCTTAATGAGATAACATCGTCTGATTCATGTTCTCAGTTTGACGCATTGCGCATCGAAGAACTTAGTCAAATATACAGTCATATGTTATGTATGACCAATATCTGGAAGATTTATGGCATTTTGTCAGAAAAGTGTATGGAGGAGTAAATAGCTTAACAGAGACTTAACTTGTGTAAATTAATAATGTGAGTGTGTCTTGTATGTGAAAGCAAATCGTCGTAGCAATGTGTAAAGGCTGTGTGTTAAGTATGTTCATATTATTATTAAATGAAGAAATGTTCATCAGTGGATTCGTGGAAACAGAAGCATTGTTCACTTAAGGCAAATAACGGGATGAGTAACAATCTACTGACACGTATGTTTATATACAGTTTAATATCGCTTAGGCCTATCTGCAGTTAGAAACTTTTCAGTCCATATTTTACAGTGAAACCAATTAGTCGTAAGCCTGTGGTGAATTCACCTTCTGTGTTAGCGGTGGCGCGGTTTAGTTGGCGACTTGGCACGGTTTGGTAGTGGGCAGCGGGCGGCCGCTGGCATGCGCTTGGCAGCCACGCGCCGGCCGCGGTGCCGCGTCGCGTGCCAATGCGTGGGAGCGGACGCCGAACTTCCGCCACACTATAATAGTTCGCCAGACGTCTAGATGTGCCAGTACTCACAGCTCTTTGTTTTGAGTAGCTAGACGTGTTATGACGATCTATTAGAGAAATATTTACTTCGAGACTATACCGTAAATAACGAGACCACTTTTTTTTTCTTGTAGATTCGGAATGCCTATAGATTGGAGATAAAAAATCTAGCATCACTAATGATGATAATACGGAACATTTTTCATTATTGAAGCATATTACAAGCCCACGGCACAGGCACGGGTATAATACAATCGCGCCTTATCTAGCGTCGGTAGGTCGCTGTAGGCGGTATCGGACGGCATTGTGGACGCGTGGGCGTTAGGCCGGTCACACGCGACGCGCCGACGGCTTATCTCACGGCAGCCATGATGTTTATCATCACATGATGGATTGCTGGCTGCCTAATAGCTTCCCCCGGTCGCAAGAGACGCGAGACGCGTGTAATTACGCGTCAGCATCCATCTACTGTCTGTTACGTGTCTTGTAGCGTGATTAATATGGGTACGTACCAATTGTATGATAGATCGGATGGCTGATGGGAGAAGTTGCCTTTCCAATAGTATCATCTCATCTGACATTTAGCGTGTGATAGGCGGAGTAATCACGCCTCAAAGAAATAACGAAGCTGTGAAATAGTCTCATAGCCCATAATAAAAAGTGATCATATTTCTATCACGTTGAATAGTCTAAGTATAAAAATCATTACAAATACCAGACAATTTTTCAGATAAACGTGTCTATAAAATGTGTCTGCTTCTAGCGCGACAGTCATAAAAACACAACGCTGACAGGTCTGGGGCGGCATCTCATTCATTATGCTATCCTATGACGCATTCTAGCGTCCTGGTAGGTTGGGAGGAGGGGGACGTTCCCACGACAATTAGCCCACAGCGCGGCACCCACGCGCACGCCCACGCCTCCACTGAGTCACGCTCCTACTGTCTGGACGGCACGGAGGGCTGACTCCGATAATCACACAATTTATGAATTTTGGCACCAAAAAGAATGTATTTACTGTCCACATTGGTCACTGTAAACATGTCAAATGGATTGGAAAAGCTACTGAATATACACTGCTTTAGAATGTAATGATGTAATGTTTAAAGTTTGTGATGCTGGACGAAAACAGATATTGGACTTAACTGTTAACAATAAGCAAAATAAGGCTTCGTGTTGGTAACCATTGAATACAAATATAAATGTAGTCTCTTCTGTTGTATCATTGCATGGCATTAAGGAAACAAGAAACGTGACAATACCACCTTCGGTTGATCATAGAAAGTCTTTCACATTTGGTCTAACAATAAATAAGCGCAACCTGGTCGAAACATCAAGCAGACATGGTGCAATAGGTGCTTAAAATATGTACTCTATTCCGTCAATCAACTGAATGCGCTATCAAGAGTGTTAATGATACTGCATAGCGCAATACCTAACCTTCAATAGTAAGCGATATATTAGACTCTGCATAAGCGGGTGATAACCCTAGCAGCCACTAAGTCGGTTCGAGTGGCTGGCAAGATAACAGGGATGCGATGTGGGTGGCGCCGCGCGACTGAGTGCTGCATTATTTGGTGTTAACTTGCTCGCGTAGGATTAACCGCTCCATGCCGACAACTCGCTGCGTGGGAAAATGTTCGCACCGTTTAAAGGTCAATTAAAAGAAACATCGTGTAGAAAAACAACGATCTTGTTTTCGTTGACGCTAACGTAGGTAAAGAAAAACAATGCATCTGTTTGTCAGTGTTCTACAGTCGATAAAATGTTTTCCATTTAACATTCCTGGTTATTATCAAACGCAAACCAAAGAATAAAGTGTTTATTGTTAAAAGAAAGTGTTTCTAAATCTGATTTACATCAAACTCATATGAATGGTTCTATGTATTTGTATGTAAATTCATGAATGCGAAGCGGCAAATTCTTGGCATCATTCACAGTTCACACTTACTGTTTAATGAATTTTCAACTCGATTTCAAACAATTTGTAATTGACTAGAGTTACAAATTCTATCGCATAGCTAAGAAATTTGTAATGTTTTACCACACACGCTGAAATTCGTTTCGTATTTATTCAGCGACACGCGTCACGGGTTTTCCCGAAAACGTCTGAAGTGACAAACGGCGCAAATTCGCTACAAACCTAACTCAGAACGGTTTTCTTTTATGCGTAATATTATGAAAACAGCATCGTTCCCTAATGAAAATAATCTTTATACAAATAAAGCTACCCGTCCGAAAAGTCGACCCTAAACCTCCATCCGGTGGTAAAATGTCCGGAGCTGCGGACAATCTAACGAGTTACCGGGGCTTCGGTTCAAACTAGAATTAGGAACAGATTGGTTTTTAGTCAGTAAAAGTCTGACACTCCCTCTTGCCTCACCTAAGGCGGGAGAAGTCATTGGATGCTTTTACCCCCTTAAAAACCCCTCCATCCATCAGATGAAAAAAACGCTCTACTGGTACTGTAACTCCCTAAATCTTGGGGGCCTCATACATATTTACTCAAACTATTTAAAATATCACCTTCAGACTACTGTAAGATACTAAACAAAGATTGCTTTCTATAAATATCACATTGTAAATAGTAATTGTAATGCGTAAAACACCGGGTTTGATAAATACGAGTACCTATCTAATACAAACATAGGTACTTATTTGTCTTAGAACTACAGGAAGGAGAGAATTAGAATCTTTGAAATTATTTTCAGCGTGATGAAAGTATACGAAACGCTTTAATTCGATATTTAAACCTACTATTTTTTTTTTATTCTTGATAATAGCAAAGAGTCTGGACCTGTGTCCATCCTCTTTAACATGAGACCTGTAAGAAGCATTAAAAAGTGGGTGTTACATAATACATTGTACATACATATGTCATGTACACCGCTGCCTACCTACACCTTAGGGGATTTAAAAGGCGTGATGCTATATTACGCTAATATTCATCTCTGCTTCACCTTGATTGGCAGAAAATGCTTAAGGCATGTAGCCCATATGTATGTCCATATGTTTTACTAAAATAAGTAACCTACTCAATCTTTTTCTCCCTTGCTACCTCGATCCCACTGTTCATAATTACAGGTAGATACTTATTTTAAGACTCCATAAGTTAAGCCTAACTTAAACTGTCAAACACCAAGCGGTCACCGGTGACCGCAACCTATTGTTCTATAATTGTGTCTACAAAACCGGTACTCGACGAGTTAACTAGACGAAGCTATCTACTATTTACTTATACCAACAGTACCAATGCAATCGCCAACTGGAAAAATAACTTTTTTCTACGAGCAGAACCATCACGCTTCCTACTCGATGTAATAAACAGTTTCAAATTAGTAGTTACATAATATATAATTTTTTGTCCCCTATTGTAGTAAAAAATGTAGATTTTTGGCGAAAACTCTTTCTTCATTCTGGATTACATTAACATGATTAACCCATCGTGTGTCTAAACGTGGATCCATGTGAGACACTATATTTTCTATTTTGTCTCATATACGTGCATTCAAGCGGTTAAATAGGTCCAATGTAAAAGAATAACCTTAAACAACAGATTCTCTATTCAAATTATTTTCCATAAAATTTCCTCACGAATGTAAGACATGTCTGAACAAGTAGACTCAATGATTTGCGAGTCACAAGTTACCACAGAATCGTGACAACTGTGTCAAGTCGCATCGTCTCGCTAAATGTGCGCGTGCGCATCATGTGTCCCTATCCACCTTCTAAGTGACCGTGTAGGTAGGTAATATTGCCTTCACGACTCTTGTCATAACCAAGGATTAACTCGTCGAGTACCGGTTTTGTAGACACAATTATAGAACAATAGGTTGCGGTCACCGGTGACCGCTTGGTGTTTGACAGTTTAAGTAAGAATTGAAATAATAAAGAAATTAGTCGAATAGTCGAATAATATATGGTTATTTTTGTAAAAAATATGTTCGGATAATGTTTGGTTTTATTTTAGATATATTTGGTTTTATCGTTATTTATTGTAAGGAAAAGAAACAATGCTTATTAATATAGCAATTTCTGTATAACTAAACTAAATTAGTTTATGTAGAGGGGTAGGAAAATTCACAGTTCACCGTCTATGTAAAGTATACGTCGCAACTTTGACTACGAAAAGGTCTACGAAACTCCTACGCCGTAGCCCGCAGGCTACACCTCACAGTGTACTACCGTATTACATTCTGTAGTTATTTGGACTTTAAACTATTTTAACTTACTCTAAACCTGAAATTCAATGAATACTAGAACAAAAACATCTTAATATATTTTCGTTAAAATAATTTTAAACGTTTATTTATCCTTTCCAGAAATTGGCTTTTCAGTTGATGTACTTACACAGAATGTCTACATGCTGAAAAGTATCCTAAATGTCCAATTTAATTACTAATAAAAGTGAACAACTGGAAAAAATACAATAATAAAAAAAAATATCATTTTATTCAACGCGTTGATGTCTTTCTTTAATAACAGCGTTATAGGTTACAGGTAACAAACATAAACCTAATTTTATTTCGATTTCGATTACGAAATATTAAAAAACTCAGTAAAAAATATTCATAAATACAAACAGGAGGATATTAATAAACAAAAATAAAACTTACCCTTCTATTATCACCACTTTTTTTCTGTTCTACCTGCGCTGCAGGGCTCATATTCACCACCACTGGGTTGGAGGCGGCCTGCTGAGGGCTGCCGGCAATACCCGTCACCATAGTTACTAATTAACACTTCACTTTATAAACATCCAAATAGCTAACGTGTTCGTGAGCAATCACTGCATTATTGGGGGAGCGTGTGGTACGTGTGCACGGTATCGCGTTCGTCGCGCGACTGAGCTGCAGTCGGTCGCGCGTCGCTTGGACCGCGCGGCTGCGGCCGGCACGCGCGCGGTCCACGAGGCGCGGGCGCGGCGCAAGGCGTCTCGCGTGCCTCCGCATCATTACACCAAGCTCCATTATCCTACGTCACGTTTTGTTTCTTTTTCCAACGAAGAACGAAGAGATTAGTGGCTTATGTTAATGATGTCATCACTCTTTTTGATTGTTTATGTTAGGAATTTAAAAAAGACGATTGAAAGTAAAACCTTCATTATGCGAGGAATAATTTTCAGCTTCATCAGTGTTGAACTTTTTCTTACCTGCAAATAATATAAGCTCGCTCGTCTCGCTCGGTCGCGTTTAAATACTTTCAAGTTAGGTATAATGACTGAATTTCAGCTTTGGTTGGAATAACTTGATGACTTGAACATACTCGAAAGGTGGATAATCTTTGACAGACAATCTAATCTGCCTCATCTATCTTCAATATCAACAGATAACAAAATCAATTTTCATGATTTTGATAAAAATAGCTGAAGAAGTGAAGATCAGTCTCTGGTAGTGTTATCAGTGGCGGGTCACACTGCGGCACAATGGAGCCGCGCACTTATTATTCAAACAGCCGGGTCTGACATCAGTCGCGTCGCGCCGCTCTCCTCTAATGTATTGACACTGAGCATAAATTTGTTCGCGTCTACCGACCGACTTCAAAGCGTCCGCCGACGATACAGCCTCTGTTTAGCATATGCAAAGGTTGGGCTGGCCCACCCGCTAGCATTGTCCTACATGCCTGAGATCTTTATTCAAATCATCTATTGTTACCGAACGCAACTAATTAGGGTTTGAGAAATGTCAGCCACGATGTGATGTAAGGACAGGTACTCACCTACGCTACACACATAGCGCGTAGTGCACACTGCACGCACGTGACACACTGATTAGTAGGCAGTCGGTACTAAATGTTGGTTGATCTCATCCAACAGGTATTGATGACATTTATTAGCAAGAAAATGTCTAAGGTTCTTTTTTGTATATTTTTTTTGTCAAGGTTACCTATATAATTATTTATATTTATTCTATCCATTGATGCTGTTTCTATCTCGAAATCAAATGGCATTACTGTGCAAGGTAAGTACAAGTACAAAGTGTGAAAATAACCCTCTGAACATTGTGTTTAAAACTCTAGACAATCTGCCAAGAACGATGTTATCCATTAGCATGATATTTGATGTCACATTTGAAAGTTGTTCGTGTATTTAAGAGATGCAATCAAGGCGACGTAATCCACATTCAAGATCCAACTACGGTCCGACTGAAAATATTACGAAAATAAGTAAACATGCACGCATAACGTACATAACGTGCACGCTTTACTTAATTTGGGATCATCTTAAAACCGGTAGCGATCTGAAGTTGTGCATAATACCATTAGACGGACTCGTTAAAATTTTTGAAACGTTTCCCTATTTCTAGAAAAGCTGATGGATAGTATCTACCTGTTTCGTTCGCTGCACATTCCCGAGATTTCATTCCAACACCTATTTAGTGGAACTACATCCTAATTTAGGCATAAGTAGCACTGAGCCTCTTTACAGTCTTGCCTCACCTTCGTATCTATATTTATATCATGAGAGTAAAAATTTAAAACGGTGAGGCCATAGGACACATTCATCTTCCTAAAATGTCAAAATGCAAATAACGTTGTCCAATTTTTTATTACAAAAATTCTCAGAAAATAACAGTGACTCTTCAAATTGTAACGTTGCGGTATTTTCGGAAGTAAAATAAATAACAAACTGTTACAATTAACGGTCCACATATTTTTTAACAACAGCATCGTTTTACTGCAGCTCCGCGCCGCCATAAAACCTTTTTTAGACAAAGGTCCTGCTCTATTTTACTAATTTTTATGAGTTTTAAAAATAGAATATTCCTTTGAATCAGTTTGCTGTTTTCTTTTGTAATGGTTGCTCTAATTTTTTATTAGGCTGGCAGTAGGTACCGTTACATAAAACAGTTTTGTTTTCAATACAATTATTTCAAAAATGTACCGTAACATTTTCATTTTACTAAAAATTCGCTTTATATGCAAAAATCTCTAAGACTCGTCACTTATGGAGTTACACCTTAAACGAAAACCCGACCTAGTTCGTGACACGTATTTACGTAACATGTAAACGCAAATTTCAGGATTCCTGACTTTAAATACTTTAAATGGTCATTTAAGGAAACGAGGTCTTCCTTTAACGGAGAAATATTTACGTATTTCTCAAGTTTTAAGATTAAACTAAACGTTCTTACTTAACATTTAAGATGAACATCTTAAGAGCGAAGGCTTCTTTACTCAGCGACAGAGTACTCTACTTTCGTTTAAGCCGCCTGAAGATATGAAATAAATGATGTGGAATACCTACAAATTTTGTTTGCGCAAAAAGCTGCTCACGCAAACCAACGCTACTACTATTTCTAAGCATAATATTGTCTCTATTAATGTCTCTCTTTGATAAGAGGTAACACACAAAAGCCACTAACGAAACAAACCAGCTAAGTTACAATAATGTGACCCTACCTTTACTAAAAACCGAGAACTTTTCAAAAAAAATCATAAAACAGATTTAGTACGGTGCGACTCGAGTCTCAACAAACAAAACCGAATGACGTACCACTTTCTGATTTAAATAAAACTATCTCAGTGACATTTTGTGGCCATTCTGCGCACGAGAAGTCGGTACGGGCTCATTATGAGCTTTCGTCTTTAGATGTCCCGCCTATTATGTCAGACGACGCGTTATTATCTCCGCGTCTCTGCTCCGACACGCTACGTTCGTATACCGTTTATTTGTTCGAGGCTCCCGCTGTTCGAAGAAGGACAGCAAAGTCCAAAAACAAACCCTTTTGTCACTGACAACGCAAGTTTTATTGCTACCGAAACCAAAACCGCTTTTTGGGACCGCGCTGTAATTACTTTTCTGTAGAAAATCTCGTTTCGTACGCTTTAATTTACCAGCGAAACGAATCGGCCGATGCGTTTGTTTGTTGTTCGTGTACTTAGGTAGAACTGGCTTGTTCTCTTCGATTGATATAAATTAAATAGGTGCCCAATTACCAGGGAATGTGATTTTATATATGACCAAGATAGAATAATTAAAAAAAACTAACACCTACACTGTGCTCTAGAGATATTAGTCATGATATATCCTAATCCAATAAAAATTATTTAAGCTTAAGCAAATAGACCATCTACGTCACGATATGGCATAACGTAAGAAAAATACACTCAATTACCTATTTTGCCTACCTATATTAAAATTATTTTGTGTGACAACTTTAATTCATGATGTCTTTAGAGTAGGTACCCCTACCCATTGACGCAATCGCTGTATAATCGCAGCTACAAGTGCCTAGCCAAGAGATAATAATGAAACTTCTACGTCAGAAAATACTTGTATTTAGGTACACTTCCGATACTAAGTGACGCCGGTACTTAGGTATTATTTCGCTTTAATTTTTACTCGAGTCTTTAGGCTTAAGGGTTTACGATTAACCACTCGTACAACTATTATAACAGAGCGTTTCTCCTGTCCTAACGCCTAATTAACTACTCATACCTAGGCATTATGGAAAAAAGATTAATATTATCACCCCGACACGCGCTGCATGGTCATCAAAGCGTGGCGGCTTTTATAAATAACGTAAAAACTGATACAAACACTAACTACAAACAACCCATAATAGAACCGTTAGACTATCACCCCCAACAGAGTCCCAAGACGCAACTACCTATTGTTTGTAAGTCCACAACAAAAAAATATAGTTAAACAGCCCACACCGCCATAAACACATTGGCCATGATGCTTTGTTCCATGCATTCGCGTTACCCGCCTTTGGCGGCTCGTAAACTTTTTCTTTAACTTTATCGCAGATCGACCGTCAACGTCCTTTCGGCCATTCGCACACCGAAATTGACGGGTTGAAGCGAAATCGACAAAAGAACAATATACCGAAATGTTGGCAAACACGCGCTTTACAATAATACTTTGTTAACAGTTAATTGCAAGGGTTTGCCAATAACCGCGTCTTTGTTGGCAACTCTTTATTTACAGAGTTTACGACGTACCGCAAGAAACGTTTTAAGGGCCCATTTTTTAACGGTTACTTTCGGTAATTACTTTGAGACAATGTGGTAAAAAAACCGCCAAATAGTTTTTTCCCCCTTAGTAACGAGACCTGTAATTTTCCTTAATAAAACCAGCGTCACGTTGATATTCTAAGTTTGTGGTCGGACACGATTGTGAGCAGAACAGAATGTGGCACCTGCCCCAATCGCTGCAATCATACGAAAATTGACGACTGTCATGATTATACACGAGGCACACCTCGTTATAAGATAAACACTCGCATCCCGAGCGCAGCCTCACTTCGGGGCGTAAGCAAATATTAGTATTGACGCCCGGTCCACCCGACTCTGTAATTATGTGATGGGCCACGGGCGGATGCCTCACTGATAGTGACGAGATTGCTCATACATTTCGCCAGCACCCAAAAATAACAAAAACTGAAACCCAAAATGGCTTTTTCTATCCACTGCTGCATCTGATAGCGATCACACATACTTACATTCGAAGTCAAAACGCAATGGACCAAAAATTATGATTCTTGCTTTTTACTTTGGTAGGTATTAACTCTCGCTGCAAGTTATAATTTTCTCGGAGTCGATTTTAAGCAATTATGATCAACAAAAAACTAACACACAATACTCACAGCCTCACAGGGATTCATTTTTCAAATTTATTTTAAGTATAATTCCATGCAAATTTTCAATACGAGTGATGGGAATTAAGTAAGTAAAAAAACCATAAATTGTTATAAAATTTATTTGCCGTCGCTAAAAAAATAGGTACCTACGTCATATACATTATAATTTTATTTACATTTACTTCGCATTTATAATCACAGCAAATCAACGCGTTTTCAAAGTTACGAATGGATTTCTCTATTCAAAATGAACATAACTGGTACTTAGACATGTAATAATGAGAACTGATAGAGATTCCAAAATGATAACAAAATTGATTTATCTTAAGCTTATGTAAATACATTATAAATAAATGAAAATAACACGAATTGATTATAAGTGTATTTCATAAGTATCTAGGTTTAACATAAAATAACATTGTAATAAAATGTTCTTGTTTGTAATAAGGACATCACATATTGAATACTGCTGAATGCGAACAGTTGAACTCTGAAAACTTAAACTAAATGAGTACATTATTTGTTAATATTCGTTAATCATGCTGTTTGGAATGATTATAGTTAACAGGGCCGTACTTATAACATTAATAATCTGTAATAAATATTTTTTTTAATACAGATTATAATATTATCTAAGTAATATAAAGTACAAACTAATTACGGCCCTGTGTATGAATGAAATTAACTATTAAATAAAACACTTTCGAAAATTAAATAATAAGTAACGATTACATTTACATTTTTGAGCATTTACTTTTGCTGTGCAAAATTTATAATATGGATATTTTAACATAAAGGTAGATACAGTTACGAAATGAAACAGCATTGCGTTAAAAAGAAAAAAGAAAGTACGTCTTTGGCACGCACTGACGCCAAATCAGCGTTGTAATGTATTCTCCTAATATTATATAAAAATACTTAATAAGATAACATAACATCACGCCTTTTATCCCCGAAGGGGTAGGCAGAGGTGCACATTATGCTACTGTACAATGTAACACCCACTTTTTACTATTTATGTTATGAGTCCCATGTAATAGGGGAGGAGCGGTGAGCCTATTGTCATATACCGGGCACAATTCTAGACTCCGTGCTACAACTGAGATTTTCTTAAAACCCAGAAATATTTTGCCGGACCCGGGAAGTGAACCCGAGACAGACTAATAATTATAATAATTTGTGCATATTTTTTTTTCTACAAAAATATGTTGACGGTAATCAGCAAAGTTGGCGGTCGACCATTCTTAGGCGATATTTGCATGCACTCGGCGCGAGCGACCATAGGGAAAACAGGGCGGTGGATAGCGATTTTATATTTTGCCGATAGGTAAGTACATTAAAATATTAGTGTTATTAGGGATTTTTGAACATTAATTGACCTAATGATATGTTTACAAAATATTGTTACTGATGAGTCTATTTTCAATTGACATAATTTTCGAATATAAAATGAGTTAAAATATCGATACTCGAGTTACAAAAAGAATCGATTTTAAATATCGATAATCGTATTTAGTGTTGATCTTAACATAATGGTGAAATGAATGATACAATGTGTTAATGTTTTAACGGATATTTTTAAGTTCTAATAATTGTCATAAGTATGCGAATGTTAATCATAATTACTGTTACGATGTTTGACATCACATAACTATAAATATAGTGTAAATATTCAGCTATATGACCCGTTAGATCGGTGTAGTATTTTAATGAGAGCAGGAATGCAAACTAAACTAGCTTCTTTTGTGGTATAGGCTGAACTTTGTTCTGAAGCCGTGCTTTTTATAAATAAAATTGGCTAAATACTTGCTATAATTAATTATCTTTTACAAAACTGTTGACGAGGTAACCCGATTAATTCCGAGCCAATCTGGGGGCTTATAGTCATGCGTAGCATTACACGACAAATGTCGTAATGAGCGTTGCGCTAACTCAGACTATTAGCTCCTAGGGCGGAAAGAAACTATTGCATCATTAAGCCGTAAAACATAATTAATTTATTTGCTACAAGTTGAAAAAGCTCTAAGTACTCGCAGATGCTCCAACATAAATATCTTATCTCATCTAACTATGAGTTATATAAGTTCATTAATAAAGAAAAAGTAATTGTTGCTATGTTGTCGTCTCTATCGCACATTGATTTATACACGCGAAAGACAGAGAAAGATACACAGTGACATTTTAACAACTCAACCCCTTTTGACGTCTATATCTGAGTAATAAGGATAGATAGGTTTCACTCTGAAACATGTATTTTCAAAACCAACTTTGTACTTACTTCGATTGGTTTAGATTTTATCTTGTATGCAATAGAGGTCAAAGTCGTTTGGCTAACTGAGAAAACTAACATCAATTATTTCGAAATGTATGGATATTTTAAGCTTTATGGACAAATGGAAAGTACCTTACATAGTTTTTTTTTTGATGTTAAAGTTCTATTTATTTCGGAAATGTAGTAAACAGGTTTTATTTCTTAATAACTATCATTGTTGTGGAAAATAATATTTTGAATTCTATTATAACTGGTAAACAATAATAATTATATAAGAATGTTCATTACAGATAAATTAGTTATTAAACTTTGTGATATTAAAAGCACCATAAGTATTCTTCATGCATGTATATGTATAATTATTATTATTATAATATTACATATTTGGAATTGGTTATATTTTTATTACAATATTACACCTTTAAAAAGACATCGTAATTAAGATCACATATATTATTCTCGTAATCATAACATAGATGGCGCTAGTTACGTTAATAGTCGTCTACATATTAGTGGTGATTATTGTCTTTTTATTTCTAGTCCATAAGACATTAATCCTTTGGAAGCGAACGAGATTTGACGCAAGTAGGACAGACTCATTAGAAGATCAATAACGTAATCACTGAATGAAATATTGAATTTATATATTTGTCCTTATTCTTATTGGCCGAAGTCAAAAATTGGGTTTTGAATGTTTTATTCGATTTTGAAATACTGGGAATGTTGAATTAATGAATTATAGTTTTCACATGGACAAATTTTGATTCTCTTACGGAACATTTTTGTAATTCACAAATTGTTCTTAGCAGTCTGTATGTGGTTTGCATATCAAATTACATGTTTGTAAACGCACCCACGACACAAGAAATCACAACAAGAGTTTAATTTTTGCTGTTAAATAGAACCGTCTTCAACTGTCACTTTTATCACAGGTTTTTCAGTAAAGTCAGAGTAAGATCTTCGACATTGGCATTGGTTAGACAAAATTTTACGCTCGGCACGTTAACGCTCAGTAGAGGCGTATTTATGCCTCGTGTGCATGGGTCACAAGCAGTGGCGGCTGGTGGGTTATCGAACTGGTGGTGCAGTTTACTAAAATATTAAAGTTAGAAAATGCAACAAAACAAAAATTGACATAATATTATGTTTATTTTTTATACATTAAATTAAATCAATACGACGACATTTATCTGAAGCGAAATGTTCAATCACCTTTTTATTAAAATCGGGTATGTTTGTAAACTACACTGATAGTCTAATAACGAGATGTCAAACATCCAATGGCTGCCGTCGCCTCGCGCGCGCCCATGCCGGCCAATTCGTCAAAAATCGGGTGCTCTCGGCAATCCTCGGTTCGCATCGCACGTGCGGCGCTCGACAACCGACTCATTACTCGGTACATTTCTATGAACTATCTTTTGTTTCACGCGTCAGGCGTATTAACTCGTATCACCTACAAGTTGTATTAGCAGCCCTCGTGCACTCGCCGAAGCGCACGAGAATTTGTCTTTACAGGAAAATAAGTCTTAATAGTTTAGTAAAGCGCTCAAACTGTTTCACTATAATTGGAGATTTAATTTTTTATACGTTTTTGTTTTTATATATTTAAAAATAAATATTAAAATGGTAATAAAAATAAAAATGAAGTAGGTACTTAATATTTTGTCATTTTTAAATCTTTTGGATTGGTGGTTCAGCGCACGAGCGCACTTAAGGTACAGCCGCCACTGGTCACAAGGTTACGTTCAAATCTCGTATGAAGCGCGTATACGCCGTGTGCTATGGGCATACCATGTAATAAGAGACGAAGCTGTCACCATACACCAGGCATGATTCTAGCTTACTGGGAATTTTGAAAATAGAAAAAAAATTATCCTTTGACAAGTCACCAGGACTTTAAGTCTAATAAAAAAGTATTCATATAATTTTTTTCAAGCTTACAATTAAGTCTCAAAATTATTGTCGATTAATATTGCAATAGCTTTCGATAATAAGTGAAATAGACATTTAACTTAAGAACCACAAAAATCTTTAGATCTGTTGTTGATAATTAAATTAATATTATTAAAGTATATTCCAAAAACAATACAAACGTGAAACCCTGTAGCGACGAAAGAGTTTTTAGTCGCAACAAGTATTGTCTACTCCAGCGTCTTCGTTTTGTGACTTGTCTATGATTCGGGGAAGAGAATGCTTTCAACAGGCGCCGGGGCCGTCAAGTCGTCGTGTTCCGAACGCGACCAATCCTGCGAAACAAATAAAAAATCTTATGTCTTCCTCAAAGTAATGTGTGAAGCTGTAATATTTTTAACACTATTACTATACACTATAAAAATTAGTTTCAATATGAAAATCGTTTGAACTCACGACAAGGTCACAGTTTAAAGGTTTTCATATAGGGTAGGAGGCAGACGAGACCTGATGGTAAACGATCATCACCACCCTTAGACCCTTAGAAGATAAGGCCTTTAATTAAAATACTTTTTCCTGAATCTGAAAATTACCTGTTCCTCGGTGCTCGCGAAGAATAAGTAAAAGAGATTAGTGCCCAGATCAATTGCTGCTGCCAAGTAGAATACCTCGCGCCATTGACCCAGCGTTTGCTGTCAAATACAAACAAATAAAGTATAAGTTTCCGTTTTTCATGTCGCAACGGAGCGTGTTATGATTGAGGATATATCCGTGAGGAATGATTCATGTCTGAAGATGATTTTAACCAAAATATAATTTTGTAACTTTTTTAAATATGGCCAAGGACTAGGCTTTTCTCTCGGAATGCGTGAATGCGTTTACAAACATAATTTCACATACAAAAAATACCCAGACATTCAATGCGGTAATTGAACCACTATCACGTTGGACAAGAGCCAACCGTGCAGTTATAACATAACATAATATAACACAACGCCTTTTTATCCCTGAACGGGTAGGCAGAGGTGCACATTTCGGCACTCAATGCCACTGTACAATGTACAATG